GCTTTTTAACATGAAATTGGTTCCGTAATCGACCTACCCAATGTATATTACACATAAAAGAGTCGAAATTACATCAAAAAATCAAAGCCCAACCCTTCTTCAAGCTTGATTTCGAATTTTCGAATTTTTTTTTTCTTTTTTTCTGCTATTTGCAGTTTTGGGGGGTTTTTTGATATTTTTAAAAGTTTTGGGGGGTTTTGTTAGAAACCGCGAATAGCAATTTTGAGACCGCAAATAGCATTTTCTAATAATAATAATAAAAAAACGAGTGTGGACTACTATGCTGCACGGACACTTCTAGAAGGTGAAGAGTCACCGTATCCGACACCTGGACATTCGGACACACCCGGACACTTCTCGGACACCCGTGTCGGGCCGTGTCGTAATTTCGCTAAAAGTAGGACACCCGTGTCGTGTAGTGTCCACAATTTAAAAAAAATTAGGACACTTCTCTTACGTTTTAAGAGAGAGCCCTAATAAAAAAATGCGCATTTTCTTTTCTCTGTAATACACATTCCCTCTGTTTTCTTTGTGAGTCCACCCAAAACTCCAAATGTTTAGCATGCGACGGCAACCAAGAACACGAGCAACAAGGGCGAGTGGTTCTCTTATGCAATGACGACTTATACATATTTTTTACAATTTATAAATGTACCCCTATATTTGTATTATTTATAAATATACCCCTATATTTTTTATATTTATGCGTATCCCCTCATGTACGTATCCTAGTTTTTTGGAAATGCCGTATGACTGTGTCCGTATCCGCGTATCGCCGTGTCCACGTATCCGTGTCCATGCATCATAGGTGGACTATAATGAAAAATCAAGAAAAGAAGTACATGTGAATGATGATTGGATGAATATATTAAAGAATGGGAGAGGAAAATGCTCTTTAAAAGATGATTTAGTAGACATGACTTTTTAGACAAGTAGTGTTGCCTAAGCAAAATTATTGGTGTTACTATTTGGAAAATGATTGGTTTTTTAGTGGACATTGTTCATACATTTCTTACCTTTTTAAAATTGTAAATTGTATATTTCAAGTGTTCTTTTTTATAAATTTAGAATTTGATTTAAAATTAAATACATGTTTTAGAAAATGATTTAAAATTAAATATATGATAGGTGACATTAGTTAATGAAATATTTTGTTTAGCAATACAGCAAAATCTCAATCAATTAATAATCTCGTTTAAATAATAATTTATTGATACCGACTCAGTGAAAACGGTATTGATCGAGGTTGTTGTTACGCGGTGAAATTTTGTTGTTATATAATTTATTTAATTCTTTTGATATTTATGGTGTGGTAAAATGGTAAATTCCAAGAATATGACAGCGCAGACTCGTACTAATTGTCTAATTTATTTTAATTTACATTTAATAAAAAAATATAAATATATATGATGAAAAAGGTAGGAATATATTATTATTTAAAAGAAGTGGGCTTGATTGATTCATTGACACGTCATTGTAGAGATTATCTAATAAAAACTCATTCTGTCTGAACACTCTCTCACAGCACATGCCAAAAAATGGCCCAAACAACAAACAAAGCGTGGCGGCAACTCTCTATATATACTTATACTTATATATTTAATATTTCACATATTATACTTATATATATAATATAATAAGGTTAATCAACAAAGGGACAATTTTCTATTTAATTATAATTCCAAAACAAATTAAGAATTAGGTGTATTATATGATATAATATTATGTTTACATTAGTACATTATTAAATAATGTACGAAATTTGCACTATAAATCTCAAATCTGTGATGTATAATTCAATAATTGAATTCTTGTTTTGTTCTTTTTAAATTGAGTTAGAAGAATAATAGATCTAAGATTCTAGGGTTTGACTAAAGTTTGACTCATGGAACATACATATCTACTATAGCACCACCGGCATATGCTTCACTCTTGTTGCCGTCCATCCTCTTGTGTACCTTTATGCTACACTCTCGATAAAAACACGATGCATGTGTAGGGTGACGTGATTTGTTGTGAGTTCAATTTACCTTCTGAAGGCGATTTGCATACTCTTTATGCGACTCGGGTCACTCCACTGTTGCTCTGAACTACCTTAAGTGAGCTCATTGTTGGTTGGTGGTCCTCTTTTCAGTTCACGTCACGGTGCAGGTTTTCCGTCCATATTTCTAATATTCAGCCGAATGTAGTCACATTCGCCGCTTATACATACCCTATGCGGGGCTATTTTGTAGACTTCAGCAGTTAGTATATGACTCGATCTTAGGCTTGGATCGCCTTCGAGCTTTGTGTACGGTGTTAAGTCAATATTGGGTATTTGGACAATCGGGCTCGTATCCAATATATAAATATATATATATATATATATTGAATACATGTTTATAAGATGTATTTCGTGATGTGTAACATGTACAATATACCTACTAATACTGGAAAAAAAGTTAAGTTGAAAATTCAACCATATCTTTGGATTCCAATTTTAGTAACTAATTTAATCCTATAATTTTGTTTTTGTATAAATTGTTTTGATTTGATTTGATTTTGTTTTGTGTCTACATCGACAAGATCATATGACGAACTAAACAATCA